TGTGTGTGTGTGTGTGTGTGTTATGTGTGTTGAACACTGTCAGATACGTCCTAAAACCCCCACCCCTCCCTGACAGATTGTTTACATTGGACACAATATGTCAACAAACACACACACACACACACGTAGAAAAAGGACGTCCAGGAGGAGGAGAAGAAGAAAAGGACACTTACGGGGACTAGTTTCCAGTACCAGCGGTTGGACTGACACTGTACAACAGAGACGGAGCAGGCACCGTTCAAGGTTCGACACTCAACTCCATCAAACCGTCTTCCTTCTTCCAGTCGGTCTCGTGACTGTTGTAGACCGACACACACACACACACACACACACACACACACACGTGCGTGCTGGGGCAGAACAATTGATCCGACCCACTTACAGTGGGCAGCCATAGCCATTAGCACGTGCGTCACTGACCAATCACTGACCAATCACTGACCGGAACAGATCGGTGAATTAGAACTTCACACGGTCGCAGTAACATTCCTCCACAGACCGAGTCGAACCAGGGCTAATGGATTACAGACCATCATGCACTTGGGTCAACACTGCGTCCTTCACTGGACACTGATCATTTACAATCAATGTGTTGACGGTGATAAAGCGTCGGCTCAGGTCACGTCAGTGGTTCACAACCGTGTTTTGACCTCAGAGACATTTTAGTGGCTGTCGCCGGTGCAACGGTTAGTTGTAAAAATATTTTTATTTGTAATTCCTTCGCCAATTATTTTTTTACATTTCAGGCGACCCCATTTGAAGGCGAGGTGACCCCCATGTGGGGTCACGACCCCACGGTTGAACAACACCAGGTTGACTTTTAGGTGAGGTTAAAAGGCTAATGGACTGTGGAAGACGGTTTGAGTGAGTTACAAGTTTAGATTAGATTTAAATAAAACGACAATAATGGAGCAGCGCAGCCCGCCTGTAGGGGGAGTCGACGGTTTCTGTTGTTGGTCGTCTGTAAACATTTAAGAGGAATCAGTTTAGACTGTTTGGTTTTTTTTTTTTTAAATGTCCTGATCTGGAGCGAAGCCTGAACCTAATGTGTTCAAACCTGAGGCTCCGGTTAAAGTTAGTAGCAGGTGAAGAGAGGTCAAGGTCAGGGGTCAGAGGTCAGGCAGTTAGGCATCAACAGGCGATGATTAGGGTAAAATGACACGTTGATCTGTACGAATGAATATAAGGTGTGTGTGTGTGTGTGTGTGTGTTACCGTGTCCTTCACAGACTGCAGGTCTGTACAGGTCTGTGACCTCGGCGGCTCCTCGTCTTCTGTGCACTCTCTCAGCCTCTGGTTCAGCTGCGAACACAGGACGAAGTCAGGAAACGTCAACTCCTGTTAATACTGTAATAATTCCTCATCTGTGGTCGGAGCATTCTTTAGGCATTTGGCAGTTAGGGGGCGCCAAACATTAATTTCCCACAGTCCAAAAACAAACATATGAAGTTCATTTGACATCATTTCCTTGTGATGACTGACTGATTGACCGACTGACTGACTGACGGACTCACTGACTGACTGACTGACCGAATGACTGACTCACTGACTGTCTGTCTGTCTGACTGACTGACTGACTGACTCACTGACTGACCGACCGACCGACCGACCGACTGACTGAGTGAGGGTCGCACCAGGTTGACCCAGAAGAGCAGAGCGTTCTCCCACGGAGCGCCAACGCCCATGTGCTCGGCCTCCGCCGCCATCTTCACCTGCTCCACCGTCTCTTTAGCGGACAGTGACATCAGAGAGTCGATCAGGGCCACATGGGATTTCTGGACAGACCGGGAAGAGTGACATCATCAGACCGCCGGGTTCAAACAACAACACATCCAACAGCAGAAGAAGAACAGGAAGTTACCGTCTTGATGGGGACTCTGCTCAGGTCCTCCTCGGTCACATCCACGTCCTGGACCTTTGGGGACAGGCCCTTCTTGGTGAGGTACTGCAGCAGGGCGGAGCTGTCGGAGGGAGAAGCCTGGGATCCTGAGGCGCGGTGAGTCTGGACCAGCAGAGACTGAACTCGACAGTAGATCTCTGAAGACAGCAGCAGCTTGGAGACGCCGGGTTTGAGGTGTTCCTGGCCATGCTGGTCCTTGTAGACCGGGTCCAGAAACTCCACGGGGACGTTTTCTGAGGACAGAGACGGAAGACAAATCAACTCTTCTGACTGTGAAGTTCTACCACTGGACGTTACGTTGTCAACGTTACCAAAAAAAAGTCACCACATCCTCCGCCCTGTGAGAGAAGATAACTTTCCTCTCCAGCAGGTGGCAGCACTCTACATTTGCTATTCAAACTAAACTTGTAAAAAAACCTGCAGCTGTAGTTTTGAACTCGGTGATTAAAATGTTTAGAGACGAACTTGACCTTGAGTGACCTGAGCAGCTGTGCCTGTGCACTGGTCACCGCTGGTACAACCACACCAGCGGTGACTGATGGACCAGGAGCAGAGTCTGAGTCCATCAGACAGAGGGCGACTTCAGCCTGGAGCCGGAGGTCACACTGAGCGAGAGAACAAATCTGGGACGAGGGAACATTAAGGACAGAATGATTTACCCGTCGTGTGTGTGTGTGTGTGTGTGTGTGTCCACACGACCCTGACCCTGTTCTAACTGGGCCGGAACACAGTTCTGTTCAGTTCAGTTCACCTCAGGATGATTCAGATGATCGGAGAAAAGAAAAGAAAAATTTACAGAAAACAGTAAAACAGGAGTTAAAATAAAAAAATAAAAATATTTAAAGTAGAACACTGTGTTCTGACGGAACAATCTATTTAAACTGCCAGAGGAATGACCCCCCCTGGACCCCCCCAAAACACACACACACACACACCGACTGCAGTGATTCACACCCTGAGGTTGAACCACTGACTCTGGGGGGGGGGGGGGTGTCACTACAGTGGGCCTGGTCACGGTTGGTCTCACTGTCCCACACAGAGACCAGACTGCAGAACCAGACCCACGCAGCTTCATCTAATCTGGATTATCAGAAACAGAAAAAAAAAAATCACACACACGGCAAAAAAAAGTCAAGGATTCAAGAAAAACAACCAATCATTATAAAAACACAACAGTTCCTGAGGTGAACTGAACAAACAAAACAAAGATCTCACAGAGACACAGGTGAGTGTGATCACGGTGATTGACTCCAGCAGAGACAGGAACAGGAAACAGACAGACCTGACGTCATCGTCATCATCATCGTCGTCATCATTCAGACGTTTGTTTACATGTTTCATCTTTTTTTTTCTTCAAGTTCAACGTATTTACTCTCTGTCTCAAATCGAAGTAAATTTCACACAATCTCATAATATAACAGTAGAATCCGAGCCTGACAGTCACCGCCTCTGGGCTCAGAGATCCACACGACTCAGGTCACATGACAAAACAAACACGACAACAAGGTAAAACACCGATGGTTATAACGGCACAAGCTGAGAGAGTTTACAACTGCAGACGCTGTGACGTCAGCGTGTCACTCCACAGAACCTGAACCGTGACCGTGATGACGTCACGACCGTGACCACGCGCTGCTGTGGCTGAAATTACAGAAACAGACGAAAGAGAAAGAGAGAGAGAGAGAGAGAGAGAGAGAGCGTACACACAGCTGAGCGTCCAGTCGGTGATTAGGATTTATTAGATGGATCAATAACCTCATATATGTAGAGAGAGATCCATATATATATACATATATTTATATAAAACATATGTGAAATAAAACATGAATATACTGTATATAAATCAGTGGAATGTGAGTCCAAAAATGCGACCAAACATTGTAGAGAAGTAGCTACGAGACAAACGTTGTCATTGGTCGATCACTGACAGTGACATCATCATCATCATGACAGCTGATCTGATGGACGATCTTTGTCAGGAAATGTCTCGTCAACATGGACAGTAACGACTCAAAACTAAACTTTGAACCATTGTCTTTGTTTTTATCCACATTAATAAATAACAACAAATAAAAACAAAAACACAGACACGAGTCAGTGTCTTTGTCTGTGCTCCAGGGTTGTTGTTATTATTACCCATAAAACTGCAGTGTTATCAGTGTGATTCAATGTTCCTGCTGTTAATGCTAATCCTTTTTTTTTGGCAGGGAACCCCCTCCCCCGCCCCCCACAGGCCGGAGGTGTAACAGCATCTGACGATGATGCTGAGGCTGATGCTCTGGACCAACATGCATGCGTAACACTGACATAAATATGATGCAGCACCGACCCATTAACAGCCAGACAGGTGCACCCCGGGGGGGGGGGGGGGGGGGGGGGGGGCAGGAGGGAGCATCAGGGACACCACCAGCAGCAGCAGCAGCAGCAGCAGCGTGGTGGTGAGGTGAGGGTGGAGGATGGCGGTGCTGATGTTGGGGGAGGAGGGAGGAGGGAGGATGCTGCTACGACATGAACGTCGTTTCCTTTATTTAAGGCCTTGGTGTCCAAACTGTGGACTGCGTCTCCGCCCGAGAGGACAAACGATGGAGCGCCCCACCCATCACCCACTGATGTGAGGAGAAGAGAAAGCAGTCTGTACCTGCAGAACCGAACCACTTCGACAACAGCCACCGGACACTGGCGCAGGTCTTGGCCCGGTCAAAGTCGTACTGGTCCAGCGGTTTGATCTCCGGCACCGAGGAGCTCCTCGTCGAGCTGGGGGAGTCGACCATGACCGCGCTGTGGCGCACGGAGAGCGCGGAGGCAGCGGCAGCAGCACCGGGGAAATGTGACGAGGAGGAGGAAGAGAAGGAGGGGGAGGAGGGATGGAGGGGGCGGGACCCTGTGACGCAGAGCCGGGCATAAAATTTTAATGATGACATCGGTGAAAGGAATTAGAATCAGAGTTAGACCATGTAAAATATATATGAAAATATAAACAGATATAAATGACATGAAGTCAAAGTCAACAGTCATAACATTTAGGACAAACAAAAATCATGTGAAACTGTGATCTTTTAAATCCAAAGCAGTTCTTTACATTTTTATAAGTAAATGTACTTACCCAGTAGATGGCAGTAATGCAACTAAAATGTGTGGCCTGTGATACAGAAGTCAGGTGAGGGATCAAATCTCAGAACCTTAACGTTTTTCAGTTGGTGCAGCGAACTCTGTTTCTGTTTTAATAAAAAAAATAAAAAATTTTTTAACTGTACTCCTGTCTGAACTTCACACCAACTGAACTCTTTACTTACTTTACTCTGATTTTATGTCACAACTGTGAAATCTGGCTTTTACCACAAGATGGTAGCATCGAGTAAGATCCTAAATACTCAGCCATTGATACTCTGTTAAGTTGGAAATATTTAGGGTGAAGAACAGAAAGTTAAAAAAATAAAATAAAATAAAAATCTGTTTTTAAAACCATAAAAAATTTCTCGTCATGTCCGGAGAATATTTACATTAAAAAAAAAAAAAGAAAAACCAGGAGGATCAGATGATGTCATCAGTGAAACTCGGAGAATGTGACCGAACTGGTTCGTCAGATTAAGCAGTCCATGATGAACCGGAGCAGAACCTGCTGCTGTCAGTGTCTCCTCAGAGCAGAGCAGAGGAGGAGGTGAACTGTTGTTGAAGTGAACGGAGGAGAGAGAGTTTTCAACAACTGTGACTGTGACTGTGGACAGGACTGAAGGAGGGAGGTCAGTGTGTGTGTCTGTGTCTGTGTGTGTGTGTGTGTCGTCCTCCTGTATTTATATTATATTATTTAAACACACTGTTTCCACTGAACTTGTCATTTACCTTCGTTTGGAATGACGTGAAAATTCAAAATGTGTGTTTGTAACTGATCGTTGTTTTTGACATTTTTTGATTCTTTAAATTTAAATTACATTAGAAATCAAATATAATTAAACACGTGGTCATTTCTCCTGCAGGACGATGGGCGGAGCTCCTTCCAAAAAGAGCTTTTTCTTGAAAAAAAAGAAGAAGACACCACTGAAAAGAGCCTGGAGTGACCTGAAGGGGGCGCTATCCAACAAGAAACGCAAGAAGGGAACCGTTTTGGATAAAATGAACTTGAACAACCTGAAAAAGGGGAAGGGTCCCCACAGGAGGGGGTCACTGTCAGGAGCCAAGAAAAGGTTTTCTTTTGATAACATGAAGAAGAAACTGATCCGCTCTGATTCGCCAGGAAGGAAGGAGAAAGAGGAGAAGGGAACGAAGGAGAAGGAGTGGAGGGGAACGAAGATAAACAGATAAAAGAGGAAAAGATTTTCTCCAAATCCTAAAAAAAAAAAAACAGTATTCAACCAAAGGTTTGTTCCGTCTTCTGGAGAAACCGCAGAACCACTGGACGGTGTAAACAAAAGGTCAAAGGTGAAACTACAGGCGGTCATGAGCTCGATGTGTCGGCCAGGGTCAAAAGGTCATAACAGAAAAGTCATTAATCCAATAGGAAGACAATAAAAATAAAAATAATTTAAAAAAAAAAAGCAGATGAACGACGGAATTTCAAACTTTTTAATGATGTCACTGAGCCGAGGTTATGCAGCGTCGACCGTGTCACACAGTTAGCATACGAGCGACATCGCGACCACAGATATTCTGCACTGAACGCAGACGTGACATTCAAAAGCTGCAACATGCTAAACCAAACCCACAGCTTTACATCACTGTGGGGTATTTGAGTAAAGCCGGGGTAACCAGGTTTCCTGTGGAGCTGAAGCCCTCAGACCGTGTTTCATATTAACTTCACCGCTGCATGTGGGTCGGCCAATAGGAAGAGCCGGTTTTCTACAACATCCTGTGACTAATCAACCTTCTTAAGTCTAATGTTAGAGGATTAGTTTCAATTCTTTCTTTTTTTTTCCAGCCCAACACGAATAGTAAACACTATCTGTGTTTACTATGTTTCTGAAGGCTGTAAATACTCATTTTTCACATATTTTTACTCTTGACACGCTCTGGTCAAACTAGATCTAGAATGAAGGCTAAAAACAATGGCTAAAAGAAATTGTGTAAAACGTTTTGAAAAAGCCCACGATGAAAGTCTGCCTACCCCGGCTTTGGACTCAATTTAAATAAAATATTTTTTTGGTAAAACCTCCGTTTTTTACAGTTGTTAAGTGCAATATAATGATGAACTGTACATTAAGAACAAGGAGTTAAATAAAGATTTACATCAAAAAGCCACCGGGGACAGTATTGGTGTCATTTTAGCTCAAGGACACGGGGGGGGCGCTCTACATGACGCAAACACACACAACGTTAACAGCCCAGGATTTCACGAAGTTCAGGTTCAAGTTACTTTCAAGTCAGTTTGAAAGTTAAAGTTAAAGACAATAAACGACAATAAACGACAATAATCGACAATAAACGACAATAAACGACATGTTGCATCATCGTGAGCTCACTGACAGACTGGGCATCTGTTCAAAACGGGTTTAGCGAACTTAAAAATAAAGGTAAAATCCAACTAACTAAATACATATATAAACATATATACATATATATGGACACACATATATACATATATATGTGAATATATATATAGTTGTTTAAATCTTTAAAGGACTAACTTCTAGTTTCTGAACAAATGCATTGTGAAAGAAAACAGTACCAGGAACCGTGTGGACTGAACCACGTTTTTTACAGGGGGGCGAGGAGACAGTGGGGGGGAAAGGGGGGGGCGAGGAGACAGTGTGGGGGGTTTAAGGGGAGTTCTTTATGACATTAATTAGAAATGTGAAATTAATTAATTCATTAATTTTGAAATGTAAAAATGCAAAAGGAAAACCCTTTATATTTCCCAGGGAGGTGGGACTGTCGTAACTATGGCGACATTTTTTTATTTTTTAACTGAGTAAAAGCTGAATCTGATTAAGACTTTAACTCATTAACTAACCTAACTAACCCTAACCCTGTTTTGTTTCTTGTTACCAACATCATTTTGGACTCATCTCCTTCTGGTTAGTTAAGTCAACTAGTTGGTTAACTAATGAACTCTAACCAGTGACGGCCTTGTCTATCACATCTCTCGCGTGTGTTCCTCGGGGGGGAGAGGGGGGAGGGGGGGCGTGGCCTCTTCCACCGCTGACAGCTGTTTACGTCTAAACAGGAAACACTCCTGTCAACACTGGGAGACACCACGTCCACTGTGTCTCTGATTTTATCAGACGCCACACAGCACAAACACTCATCACTTTTCCTCTTCCCGTCGACCAGAGCAGCTTCACGCCGTGGTTCACGGTCAGCGCCGATAAAGATGCGCTCAGAGGAGAAACGGTTTGTGGTCGCAGCGGCCGCCGTGTTGAGAGGAAACAGACGTTCAGGTTTGTTTACGTGTGCGTCCTCAGACACGGCCCACCGTCAGTGTCTGTGTGTCTGTGTGTGTGTGTGTGTGTGTGTGTGTTCCTTATCTCTCCATCAACTCTGAGGTCCATGTTTAATTCCAGTTGTCGGAGTTGGCGTGCGCGTCTTCAGCGCCGTCACAGATGAGAGGCCTCCCGTTGCTCCTCTCTGCCGGAGCGGACCTACGGGATTTATGATTCTACAGAACAGAGAGAGAGAGAGAGAGAGGAAGAGAGAGAGAGAGAGAGGGAAAAGACAGGAGTTTGGAACGAGGGAAAAGAGTCGACAGGAAGTGGAAGTGGAGAAGACAGAAGGAAAAATGGGTTAGTCACGTCGACTAAGGACAGGTGAGGTCACATGACCGTCTCTAATCCAATAACATTTCATTTATATATGTATATTATATGTAGCATTATTCCTTATTTAGTTAGTGGTGTTAAGAGTCTGTCCTGCAGACAGAGTGCATCATGGGAGCTCAGTGATGTGGCGGTCTTTAAACTGACCCTCTGTGATTGGATTTGAGGTTTTTGCTACAAAATTAAATCACCTGCCAAGTTATTAAGTTAACAGGTTAACAGGTTAACAGAGTTCCAGCTTTGCTCTGTGAACAAAAGCCGGGTCAGTGTTAGCTTAGCTATCTTAGCTGGCTAAGATAGCAGACAGAGGTTAAAGGTCAAAGATCGGATGTGAACAGAGTTTAAATTCTCACTGTTATGAGTCGATGAAGATGATGACAGAGGAGGAAGAGGAAGTGGTGAGAAAATGTTCAGGCATCTTTTCAATGGTCAGATTTTTGGAGCTGAGATTTTTTTTTAAATGTTTGACTCAAATGAAATGATTTCAAACGAAGAATCGTTTCATTTCAGTTCCCTCAACAGGACGACGGCGACGGTGCAGAGAGGTGAGCCGGCCAATCACAGATGAGGACACACGTGGATTTATTCATATCAGTGTCAACAAGAAAAATACAAAAAAATAAACTGCAGATAAAAAACAAAAAGACAAAATGATCCTGAACGCTCAAAAAAAAAAAAAAAAAAAACACCAACAGTCGGAGTCGAATTCAAAGAATCTGAGGAGTATTTACAGTAACACACACACACACACGAGTACAACGCCACACATGACTGCATGTCCTGTTGTGTGGAATAACAGGGAGGGAGGGGGAGGGAGAGAGAGAGAGAGAGAGAGAGAGAGAATAACAGGGTGCACACGTCCAACAGACACACATGCCAGAGCAACAACTCAGAGAAATGCGGCGAAGAGAACGACAAACTCCAACCAGCAGTGAACATCTGGAGGGGTTTAAAACACACACACACACACACACACACACACACACACACACACACACACACAAACAGCAAAGGAAAGAAAACAAAAACGCTCCATAAACATATTTACATGAAGCCAATCAGAACCTTCTTCAACCTCCGGTGGTGAAGACGATTCGTCCGTCTCTCAGTGAAAATCCACCGCTCTGATTTTTTGGATTTCTCTCTCTGTAAATGTTCCGAGCGACGCCGCGGGAGCGTGAGCTGCAGAAAACCACGAACGCTTTCCTGTTGGTGCGTCATACGCAGTTTTTCGTCCACCGACCGACCGACCGACACACACTGCCGTTTCCTGCCCGTGTGTTTTTTTTGATCACATTCGAGAGGTTGATGTACAGAGAAGTGAGAATTTAAACTCTGGTGGTTTCCTGTGAAACAGCGGTGAGAACAACACACACCTGCAGCTCACACACCACGACACACACACACACACACGGTGGGACAAATGATATTTGTTAAGGTTTTAACGTCAGAAGAACATCGTTTGGATCTGAGTAAGAAGTAAAGCAGTAACAACATCAAATATTTTCAAAAAGCGAGTTCTACTCTGCAGACACACACACAGGTGAAGAACCAAGACGAGAAAAGGTCACGGCTGGAACTGACGACAGCTTTGAAACAGTTTACGACTTGTTTCGTCCAATTTTTGAAAAATGAAAAAAAAAAAACCAAGTGACTGAGCAAAAAGATTTTTTGTCTTTTTTTTTTTAAATTCAAAAAGAACAGATTGGTCCTGGTGTGAGTTGCTGTTCTTTTTACTTTTGTCAGTTTTTATGGTTTATCGTCTAAAGTCCCGTGAGTGGGTTATTGGTTTTTTGTGATCGCTGTCGCCGCCATTGCTCTCTGACAGTACCTCTTGATCCAGAGTGGTAAAGTGGGCGGAGGCGCCGTCGCTGCTGCCGCCGCCGCCGCGTCTGAAGACGCAGCACAGGATCTGCTTGAAGGTCCTCCTCATGTCCTTGTCTCTGAAACAGTAGATGATGGGGTTGACGAAGGAGTTGCACTCGGCCAGCACCAGGCAGTACTTCTCGTAGCGCAGCACTTGGCACTTTTCGCAGCCGAGGCCGTCCAGCAGCAGAACGACCAGACCCGGCGTCCAGCAGATCACGAAACAGCCTGCAAGAATGTAAGAGGGAGGTGAAGGGCACGTCAGGGCATCAGGAGAGGTGCAATAACACAAGACGTCAACACAAGAAGTCACTGATAAAAAAAAATTAAAAAAAACTCTTTCAAGGCTGAGGTGAGGAGTTTGAGGCGGAAAGAGGAGGAACAGAGGTTTGAAGAATGTGAAAGAGGAGGGAGAACGGGAATTAACTGGAAATTCCTGAGAAGACAATACAAACACACACACACACACACACACACACACTGTTGTTATTCAGCAGGTTACGAGGACATTCACCGACCAGGTTCTGACTCTGAGGTTTCACTGTCATAACATTAGTGGGAATTCATCACATACACACACATTCACACATTGATGGACACATTGATAGTGTGATCACATGACCTCCTGACCCTTGACCCCCGAGCCCCTCCTTCAACCTTAGATATTGATAAATCCTCCAAAAGGAGGGAAAAAAATCTGAATTTTAGCCATAGACAGAGGGGGCGCTGGTGTGCAGCGCAGACAGCGGAGACGCTGTTTTCTGTCACAACCATGAACTATGCAGAGACCTGTCAGGGCGTGCTTTACACCTCCCTCACCCTCCTCACCCTCCTCACCCTCCTCACATGCCAGAGTTGCTCAGTCGTTGCTGCTGAGCGACTGGAGAAAAGATGCAACTATTATTTTCATTTTTTTTTTTTTAAATGTTATGGAATTTAATCAAAAGTCGTAGCCGAGGCAGAGGAGGCTGGGAGCACGGTGAGGGGGTGAGGGGGGGGCAGAAGATGGAGGAGAGAACGGCGGCTTCAGCAGAAAATGGGAGAATCAGTGGGAGAAAAGAGGGAAGATGGAAGTGTGTGTGAGGGAGGGTTGACAAGTCCAGACGTGCGGAGACAACCGTCCACACAGATACTGAGAAATCAGTCAGCGTCGGTGCAGAACGAAAAAAAAAAACTTCCTGAAACTTAGTGTGTTCTCACCACAACTGTAAATAGTAAATTTATATATATTAATTTATATATTTATATATATAGAATCAACATCACATCTCTCTCAGAAAACAAATACTTTTTAACTATAATTCAAGAAAGAGAAATATTGCTGGACATCGTCCATGAAAACCCACTCCCCGTCTCTATCACTGCCACCCCCTCTCATGGATGCCCTGCACCACACTCACACACTTCTCTGCCACTCCTCATCTCTGAGCAGCCTTTCACAACAAGAACTGCAGCTTCAATATCTCTAAAACCAACAAGCAAAGTTTACGTCTTTAAAATAATAATAATAATAATTTAAAATTTATTGATCCCATATTTGGGAAACTGCCCCCTGCAGGTTCCTCTAGGAAATCGAACCCAGGACTCCGTGCTCCAGAGGCAGGAGTGCTAACCGCTACATTATGAACCAACAATTTCATATTTTATTCAATATTATTATATTAAATATTTATATGATGATGATATATTTTGAATGAATAATGAATGATTTCTGTGGCAGAGTTCGAGCCTCACCCAGGATGGTGAAGACGGTCTTCATCAGATTTAACACCGTCTCCTTCAGTCTCATCTGCGACGTGTGCTGCGACATCTGCTTGCTCTTACGCCTGACGTAGATGAAGATGCGGGTGTAGATGCCGACCATGATGGAGAAGGTGAGAAGGTTGAGGACGCCCCAGAACACCAGGTAGTTGCGGCTGTACATCGGGGCCATGGTGGAACAGCTGGGCAGGTCGCACAGGCAGTGCCAGCCCATGGTGGGCACCAGACCCATGATTACGGCCAGCAGCCAGATGAAGACGATGATGATGAAGACGCGGCGGGTGCTCATCTTGCTGTGCAGCTGCATGTTGAAGATGGTCTGGTGGCGTTCCACGGCCACAGCCAGGAGGTTGAGGACGGAGGCCGTCAGACTGGTGTCTATCAGACCCTGGCGGACGAACCACTGGTACTTGGAGAGTTTGATGGTCCAGGGACCAGTGTGAAACATCAGGTGGAGGTAGGAGATACCTGTGGAAGCGCAGCAGACGGAGGCATTGGTTTGAGTGCTAATAACGACCCAGGTGACTCTGAGCAGCAGGTTGGTCGACCAATGACCAGAACGACTCAAAACCACCGCCGGCTAAAGGCTAACTTTTATCGTACTGTTCCAGTTTGTTCTGAACATTTTCCTCGTCATCAATAATTCCATCATGTTGATTCATCACAAAAGAAAATACATCAACCTGTCGATATATAGAAAAGGCTTCTGGGTAAAGTTAGCTGTATTGTTGATCCCAATTAATCGTGATTAATCAACAGTGCAGCATCGCTGTCAATACAAAAGCAATAAAAAAAAACAACTTTTTTTTATTACAGCTAACTGACACAACAAGGTGTGTTCTGTCTGGTGGTTGACCAAAGTTCCTCTTCAAGGTTTCAGAAGTGAAGGCGGTTTCGAACGCAGACATAACTCCTCTTCAAGGTTTCAGAAGTGAAGGCTGTGAACTGAGTTTCGAACGCGGACATAACTTTTTTCCACACTCGTAGGAGTTATAGAGAAATGTTTCTTAATAATCATTTCAGTAGTTTTTCAGAAATCCTTTTGACTCACAGATAAAAGAAGCCAGTTTTCACAATCCTCCCCGTGACTAACACAGAAACTACTCTAACGGTTTCCAACCAACATGACGGCCCCAATATCACCAAATAATTGTGTGATATCTGTAAGAATCAATATCAGTTTTTTAATCCGATAATGAAAAACCAATAACGCCAGAGTTTCACCAAATGATGTGTGAGTTAACAATAGAAAGAAAGCCACACCCATCAGATATCTGGAACAAGTTAACGTCGGACATCATTTAATAAACCAAGCACTGATCGGTTTCCACGGAGACCGGCGGACTCACCTGAGAAGAGGTCGGCACAGGCCAGGTTACCCAACAGGTAGTAGATGGGGAAGTGAAAGCGTTTGTTCTTAAAAATAGCCGCGATGACCAAAAGGTTTGAAAAGATGACGATGAAGCAGACGGTCATCCCCAAACTGACGATGGCGTAGTCACGCGTGCGCCAGTGGTCGGTGATGTTCTTGCCGCTCTTCTCGTAGAAGAACTTGACGGTGCGGTTGTAGTAGCATCCCTCCTCGTCGTCCGTGTGCGTATCCATGTTGAGACGAGGTGCGGAGGTGTGCAATCAGAGAGGATCTGTGACTCTAGAGGGCGCTGCAGACGGTGAACTGTGGAAAAGGATTAGGGCACCATGCACACTCCCCCCTGCAGGCGGCGTGGAGATCAGCATGCCATCAGCCGGATTTATGTCTCCTCAGCCTGTGGAGAAATCAAACATCAACACTGGCTCCTGAACAAACAAACAAACAAACAAACAAACAAACAAACAAAACTGTACAGTCAAACTGTGCCTCACAGAACAACAAAACTGTACAGTCAAACTGTGCCTAACGGAACTTTTTTAAACCTGACCCTGACGACTGAGAATCTTCATAGACAAAACCTGTTTTATAAAACAACAATCAGACTGAGTCACGTCTTGTCAAAGAAAGACTTCAAACACTGAACGTTTCTGTTGGTTCTGATCAGCGTTTGTGACAAATCAAAGAATCACGGCCAAATATTGAATTCTTTCTAATTAAAACCATCTTTGAATTCTTGTCGAGGTTTGACAAGGATCCACAGACGGACATCGTGAAGTCAGAGCGCTGTGATTGGCAGCGACAGCAGTTCTTTCACTATCACAGCTGCGGAGGTCAACCGTTCAATTCCGCAGGGTCTGACGAGTCACCGCGCAAAAATGTGGATTCCACGAGAGGCCGTCTAATCAAAATCTAACACAGCCCAAGGCCAACCACAACAGCGACCTTAAATCCACTGTTGACTGTAAACAGGACCGCTGCCACCTGGTGGGCGTGGCGTCAACACGACTCTTCCTTCACACTTTCTTCCTCTTTCGCCAGCGCAGCACGACTGCGCGTACGGCGGCACCGTGGATGAGTTCAGGCGTCAACAGTGGAAACAGCAGAGACACACCTCAGGATTACACAATCCCACTCTGTAACTCAATCCCAATCCAAACAGTCACGCACACACACAGAAAACACACACGGGGCAGGAACCTCCGTGACCCGCTCTTTCTCTGGAACACCGTGCGATGTGAGTGTTTTCACTGTAAAAACAGAGAAGGAAAGTACCAAAAAAAAACGCAGTATTAATTTAGACTGATACTGAGTACTGATACTGAGTACCAAAGTTCAAATACTTCTGATGACTTTGCAGTAGAGATACACTGACACAAATACTTGTACTGGACGACCGTTGTTTTCTATTTCAGAGTCTCTCTGGAATCATGGGTAATTTATTTCAGTGGCTCAACAAAGGCAGCTTCACTTTACAATTATATATTTTCATGTAATATATATAAATATATATATATGCAGAATACTGTATGTATAAATGATGTAAACAATGAGAAATTATATATATATGCACATACTGTATGTATAAATGGATGTAAACAATGAGAACTGCAGGTATTTTGTCATGTGTTTTGTTTTATTTTTACATTACCAATGAGCCTAACAATAGTCCTGCCTACAAGAAGGGGGCGCTGCAGGTTAATCCTGGTCTTAAGTCACAGATGTGTAACCCAGAGAGTTCACTGCTAGCACAGCTTGACCTCAGACGACAGTGATGTTACTTTGTGTTTCTGTAAAAATTAAATCTGTGAATCTCGACTGTTTGAACCTCGTTGTTCTCAGGCGTGATGTTGACGAAGGGAAACGTTTGGACCGGTTCTCAACACAGTCAACAGGACAAACGCTAACGACAACCTGTCAGAGTGTCCTCCGTGGTCCCCGCCCCAATGTGGAGCAAACTGTGGTCTGCGGGTCCACGTGTCTGTACCGCACGGCTGCAGCGGTGAGTACGTGACAAATACATGACGTTCACAAAAACAAAAACAGAAAAGTTTTCAGCAGGTTTCAGACCAAACCAGCCGAGCTGCTCGCTCTGCAGACAGGAAGTGAGCGTCCAGAGCTGACGGTGTGCGTTTTCACGCATCAAGTGAAAATGTGTTTGTGTGTGAATGAATCGAGCTGAATCAGTAAACACCAGTTTGAATGCAAACCGGTCATTACCAGAGGAGCCACACCCAGCTCTCCCTCCTCCTCCTCCTCCTCCTCTTCCTCCTCCTCCTCCACAGCCAGTCAACGTCGGCCGGTATTTGTTTTGAATGGGACAGATTTACAGCCCACACACAGATACTGAGACCCCTCTTGCTGTGGTCGGGAGTGGCTGTGTGTGTGTGAGTGTGTGCGTGTGTGTGACCTTGTGATTCTGGGTAGTACCAGCAGTTCTGTTCACCTCCTCAGGAGGTGTCTCCCTGTTTGTCTTTACTTTAATTAACTGCCTCCTGTCAAACGTCTCCGTCCAGCTGTGCAGCAGACGGGCGACCGCCGCAGCCACCGGACGTCACGCTGCGTAACGATCTCCCTGGGCCGCTGAATTAGACCGACGTCTGCACAGACACGTTTCTCTGGCTGCATTAGCGGCACTGACGTGGCCCACGTACAGCAGGAAGCCTTGAGGGGGAAGTGTCCAATCACGGCTGCACGTTTCTGAGACAGGATTTTTAGGGAAGAACAACGTCGACGGTACCTGAGGTGAACCCTGGTGCCCTGCTTGGATTGGCTGACGTCACATGCTTTTGTAGTTATATATATATATATATATGACTGAGTGAGGCAGCAGCCTTTAATGCAGGCGTGGGCACAATTGTTCCTAACACTTGACAGAGGGGGCGGCGTTTGAACGTAGGTAAATCACATGTAAATCAAGTCAAAGGCCAAAGTATGATGATAATATAAATCAGTTGTAGAATTTAGATAAGTTTGGTGGGCCGGATTTAAAAACGCTGAGCGGACCGCATCTGGACCCCCGGGCCGTAGTTTTTCCCCACGCCTGTATTTGAGGAACATCCACAGAAGTTGGGGGTTCGTTGATGCTGCAGCGAAGACTTCGACCGAGGCTGAACTTGAAGTCAAGTTGACATTTTTCCTCCAGTCCAGCACAGGGTGGAATCATGTGTCAGTACAACAGTGAGGCTGCAGCTGCTGTGACTCAGGACCAGGCAGTGAAGAGAGAATTAATCAAGGAATTCAGCAAAAATTTAAAACGTAGACATTTTAAATTTAGCCTCTTTTTTTTTTCAAATTTGCTGATGTCATTTAACGTTTCATTTACGTGATAAAAAAGTCGAATCGCAAAAACAACGTTGCTCTGTACACAAACCTAACTACTGACTAAGCAACTACTCTGGTACATGAAGTACTTCAAAAAATACAGTTACATTTAGTGATGTCTGATATTTACTTTTTTGTCGAAATATCTGATTGGCAGATTCTGTCAAAAGACTGAATTTCTGACTCTGATATCAACCATGCAGCTGTTAGCCCCCAAACCTGAGCAACAGTACACACTGCTACTACACTGTACTGCACTGGGCTGAAGTTTTTATGACAGTTGTAAGAACTGTCATAAAGACTGCGGTTAAGAGGAAGTTTGTAAAAAAAAAAAACTGGGTTGGAGGGAACACTGTGTCATAATCTGAACACATAATCTGAAAAAGAAAAAAACTGACTGATCTTCGATCAATGAAAAAAATTCAAATGATTGTATGTGATTATGTTGGATATTTACTTTTTTGATTCTTCACCATTCATTACTTTTAATAATTAAATTCTTAAAAATTAAATAATTAACAACTAAGCCTTAAAACCCAAGACTTGGGAGTATAATCATAATAAATAATAATAATAAATAATAATAATATATAATAATAAAACCATAGGTTTGTTTTTGTTTGTTATTGTGCTGTCGATGATAAAAACTTTTTTTTCAACTTGTTCGAAGCCTCAGCTGTAAACATCAGCTCTCTACCTGCTCTGTTTTGTTTAACCTTCCGGTGTTGCCATAGAGTATAATCATAATAAATAACCAGTAGTAACCAGTAATAACCAGTAATCCTCACTACATCATAACATGAGTCTTTACCATAAACGCCTACAGTACAGTTTGAAAAAAAAAAACCCTTTTAGTTAGACACGCAAATTAATTTTAAAAAGAAAACTATGTGTCTGTGGGAGGGGGTGCGGCGGGGGCACCTAGTGGTTAATAAATGAATGAAAGTCTGAAGTCATAAATGTCAAAGTGTAGAGAGGAAACAGAGGAAGAAACACATCAGATAGTGCAGATAATGATTCATATCCAGAGTGAAGTGTGACTAAATTACAGTAACACTCGTGTATTTATCACTATCTACCCCTGTTTAACGACCATTCACTATACCAGTAGGGACCACGGAGAGGCCGCGGTTCCTAGTTTGCAAAGCACCAGAAAGTTGGCCACGTTTTCACAAAAAACGCTTGGTTTGAAAAAACTAAACCATCTGAAAACTGGAGAATCTCGAAGCAGCATTTTCGGTAAAAAATCCGATGGAAAAAAGGCGCGTTTTTTAAAATTATTTTAGGAAAATAAATCACTTTTCCAACCGCAGGACAATTGTAGAAATAAGCTCGGACCCCCTGCTGGTGGAGAAACAAAAGGACGCGGATTTAGATGCGTCTCTTCACCTCCACCTCCACCTCCACAACAATAACGACGACGACACGAACTCTGCTCCAAAAGAAACTGAAAACGAACGGCAGCTGAACTCACCTGCCCCGGTGTGTGCGTCAGTGGACTCGTTCTTCAGGTAATTCCAGAGTTTGGAGGGAAAGAAAAACTCACTCCGTCGTTTCACCTGAGGTCAAACTTTCAACGCCCTCCGTTCACGAGGTGGAGCCAAAAAAAAACAACCTCCACAAGAACAGAAAGTGTAAAAACCAGCGTTGAAGCTCCTTCACCGCGCCTCCATGACTGATGATTTGGGGGTTGGTTTTTTTTCCCCAAAAAAAGTTTCAGCCACCTGTCCGTGACGGACTCACTCCTTTCTTCCGGTTGTGGTAGGAGGACTGTAGGCTGTACCTGAGCCGAGTGTCCCGGGAAGGAGCAGGAAAGGGCGCGGCAGGCTGAGGACTGTTTCTCCGCTGCTTCTCCTTCACCAGTAGGAGCGGCAAAGTGAGGCTCCTCCGTCTGCTCCTCCGCCACTGCCAACCTGAGGCTGCGGTGGTATCCGCCCCAAGCCGCCTCCTATTGGCTGAGACCGAGGCGCGACGGCCAATGAGAGCGGAGCTGCGGAGAGATTGACAGCTGTAGTCTCTACATTCAAGTGTTGAACACGTGTGAAATCTGTTTGTCTTTGTCCCACTTTAAACAACAAAACATTTTGGGGTTTTTTTTTTCAGTTTTTTGATGAGTCATCGATGCATCACCACATCTTTTTTGTATTAATGAAGCATTTAATAATTAGTGAGTTTAATAATTAGTCCTCTACAGAGGCAGCCATGTTGGATTTCTGCATCAGCTCACAGTAGGTTTTTTATCATCTTTCACTGGATATAAAGTGTAAACTGAAAGATCGCCGTTTTTTTATGTTGATTTTACAAAGATGGAAACAAAACAAAATTAGACTTAACGCCAACATTGTGTTTCTAAAATGAAAGTGAAAAAAAGCTGTTTTTGTGATTGTGTTTCCCCTGCCAGGTTCTTCTGGGAATCGAACCCAGAACTGTCTGCCTCGGAAGCAGAGAGTCCTGGGTTAAATTCCTGTTGTTAACGCAAGCATTCCTCATTAATAATTATTTTATAATTTATTATTATTATTATTATTATTATTAAAATTCAGTCCAGCACCAAATGTTTTGTAGAGTAAGTTTTTCCTACTTTGGAGGGGGTGGGGGAATACTTTTCCTACTTCCTACGAACCCTACTGTATTAGCAGCCTACTGTATTAACAGTCCTACTGTATTAGCAGGTCTACTGTATTAACAGGCCTACTGTATTAACAGGCCTACTGTATTAGCAGGTCTACTGTATTAACAGGTCTCCTGTATTAGCAGTCCTACTGTATTAGCAGTCCTACTGTATTAGCAGGTCTACTGTATTAACAGGCCTACTATATTAACAGTCCTACTCTCCACCACACACAGCCATCAGACCAACTACGACTAACTTTATACCGCGACCCTCATCCTCCGTCCTGGAGCCGGGGGCCAACTGTTCTCTTCTGGTGCAATAATGTTTATGGATCTCTTCAGGACAATTACAAACGCACACAGTGTCATAGAGACAGTGAGTGGAGGGAGGAGGGGGGGCAGAGGTGGGGGGGGGCGAAGACAGGGGGGGGGATCAAAACACACAAAGAGGAGGCGGGAGGGAA